TCTGGAAATACACACGCAAACTTGGACGGACTCTACTGCCATATTTAGCGCCTGGAGGAAGAAAGAGAAAGAAAAGGACATTTTGGTTGCCTCCGTGTTTGTATTCTTTTCTTGAAAACTCTGACACACCCTGCCTTCATGAAAGTCCTTTCCTTCACAACTAACCTCACCTGGAACACTAAACTCACAGAAACCACCCAAGGGTTCTGAAGGCTTAACACACGCAAATTATAATGAGGGAGTCTTGCTAGTGTTGTTTAAGGAGTACAGTCACCGCGAGGGCATTGCGCTGAGGGTAACAGTCATTTGACTCACAGCCTAAGTTCCTCTGACTTCACACAAACTCCCCACAGTTCCTTCTCTTGCTCTTTCCTCTTCCTTTGGCACCAAAAGAGAGATAAACCCTCAGAGGCTCATTTATGTGTATATTGACACATTTGTAGATCGACCTCCTCAAGAAAGACCCAGAAAATGGTGAGACAGCCCATGTGCATAATCCCAGGCCGTCCACATGCAGTAGCATGGGAAGGCACTCTTTGAAGCTTTTGAAATAATAATAATCCTGTGTTTTCAGCTGAGGCTTTGCTTCCCCGCCAGCTTGCTCTGGACAGGCTACATCAGGCTTGGGTTTTCAGACAAACACGTTTTCAGACAAACAAAAATTATCCCTGGAAGATGGCAGGAACGTACTCTCCGGCTGTGCTCCTTCCCCCCCACCACCCCCATTTTCACTCAATAGTTCAAATGCTAAAAATATAAACTATGACTCAGCCTTTAAAACTTCTGTGGTCCTGTCATCATAAGAGCGGGCCAGACGTGAGGGGGCAAGAGAGAAAATCCAATTAATCCTACCCCCAGGGGCAAACGACCTTATCAGACGTTTTACTCTAGCCCCAGCTGAAGTTTTGCATGAAAGATTCCACCTGTCAGTTTTTCCTTTGTTTCAGCACAAAATCTCTGAGGCAGCATTTTTAACTCAGAGGCGAGTTTTATTAAAAATGCCTGTTCCGGCCAGCTGGTGTCAACCCGTTGGTTTGCTAACCCAGCATCGACTGAAAAGGCAGCAGTTCTCTGTTTCATGAAGATGAGAGCTGCAAACTGTTAAAACCGACTTCCAGAGCTGGTCTGCCGTGGGCCAGGCAGACCAGGGAAGGCGGGGAATTCTGGAGGAAAGCGAGGGGAGCCTCCCCTTTTACTCCCTCTCAAGTCACAAATTTCGATCTTGAATGCACTCTTTCCTCCATCCTGGACTGGTTCCTTCTGCAAAGGAACCGCGCAAAGCCACATCCCAGGATGACACTCCGGCTTTCCAGTTGCCGTATTCGTTCCATTAGCATAACATATGCTATCAAGCACCAACAATATACGTGTCAGACACAAAACAGCCCGGAAGGACTCAGGTCCTCCACACCGAGAGGGTTTGCACAGAGCAGGAACAGCAGACCTGGAGAACCCATCAACCCAGACCTCGGCGTCCTCGGTGGGTGGCGGGGACAGCAGGTGTGGAGCGCAGCCTCCCCGCCCCAGAGGAGACCATATTGGTCACCCATCGAAACCTGGATATTGAATCCAGAACGGCCCTTCCCCTGCCACACTCCCTGGACAAGGGACGCTAAGAATCACACACGTTTGGTCTCCTGGTGTTGTCATTTATTTGGCTGACTGTCAGCCATTGGCATTCCTGAGGCTCTTTTAGGACAGGAGGACTGGACTGGTGTCACTGACAATTCCAGTTCCAAGACTCAGAGGGCCCTGGTACCGACCAAGTGGATGTCGTGGAAGAGCACTAGACCCAGAGTCATCAATCCCGGGCTGGAGTCCTGGCTCTCCATACACTGTTTTTTAACCATGCGCGAGACTCCGTTTCCTCTCCTTACAATGCAGGTGTTAACACTGAGCCCCTTGCAGGCTGACAACATTTAATGTTTTTGACTGAATACGCTGAAAGCCAGCTTCCACAAACCCCCGATGCCCTCTGGTATGGGTTCATGCTTCCTTGGTGGTAAAAAGGCCCTCTTATTTCTAGTGCCCCTAGGGGAAGCCAGCAGAATTCTGGAATTCACAAGCAAAGTCCCCAAACCTGCACTTGTCACATTTTGCGGGAACTGACATTCTTCCTCTATCCTCCCCCTCCGTCACTGAGTGGAAGGCTGGGAAGTGGGAGTCATCCTGGAATTCTCTTTCTTGCCCTCGCCGCTCCCAGGGATCCAACAGGGGGTCTCACTCATCCTCCTTCCCTGGCATTTGCTGCCGGTGTCCACACTGGCCTCTCCCCGCCCTACCTAAGGCTTATGTCCTGAGGGGGCTCCCTGCCCACACCCTGACGGTTCTACCCCGAACACAGCTCTCAAGTGCTCTGAGTCTGAGAATGTGACCCCCCCCAACCTGAAATCAGTAGTAGCTCCTCACAGCCTTCAGCAAAAAATTCACATTCCTTGGCTTGGCACACAGACTCCTCTTTTGGGACTTGGCACCTGCCTCCCCTTTGACCCACTCCGTATCCACTCGCACCAAGTTCACTACTGTCCCTGCATCATGGCCTGTGCTGCTCCCCGCACCAGGCCAACCCTTTCCCACCTGGCTGTCTGGCTCCCACTTGCCTATAAGGATGCGAGCTCCCCAAGGGGCAGGGGATGGAGTGGGAACGTTGCAGGGCAGGGGCTGGTTCATTGTTCTATTTCCTGAACCCAGCACCGAGTCTGATACCTCGGAGCAGAAACCTAGTGAACACTTGACTGATGAATGGTTATTCAAGACTCAGAGGAAGCATCCTTTTCCCATGGGAGCATTTTGTGGTTCCTCTTCAACAACCACGGGTAATGCTGCATTTGAGTGACTCTTTTGACCTCATCCCCTGCGGTACCTGTCTTATAACTTCTGCCACTCAGTGCCAACGGCTCAGCTCCCTGTGTGTGCTCGGCACTGCGTCCCAGGCCTCGTGGGAGAAGAACTGTCTTACGTTGGCTCTGGTTCTCGCTCTGTCTCTCCCCCCTCTCTGCCTCTTACCCAGTTCTCTCCTCTCCTGCGTGTCTGATCCAAACAACCACGTACCAGGCCGTGCCCCCCGGGCACTGGCATCTCAGCGGGCCCATCATTCGGCTCAGTGACAAACACGTAACTGGCCACCCTTCCATTTTAGACCATTCCACATGCACACCCAGAGAACGACCCGTTTTTCCCGGCTAATCCACAGGCCCAGTGTTACCTGGTCAAATACACGCCAGCCGTTCAGTTCCACTGTGCACCTCTGACGGGAGACAATGACTGTGCCTTTCCTGGCCAGAAATGGGAAACCACCTCATCGTGTAGACAACCCATAGCACACAGATTACAACACACGAGCACCACAGTGAGATAGGACACGACAAACCACACTTCCTACTCAACACGTTTGTTTGTTTGAGCCATGTCTGAAGGGTTTGTGTGAAGAGAGAGAGACAGACTCACTGAGGAGGTCAACGGGAAGCAGCTGCTGCAGGATATAGACCAGGAAAATAAATCAAACACATTTTCTTTGCAAGATCCAAATCCAGTTCCCGTCGAGGCTGCCTCTCTTCGTTTCATGAAACCACACGACAGGACTGGGGAGTTTCTGGAGATCACTCAGTTTGAGAGGATGGGACCATCACCTTGTGCTTCTTTATCTGGTCCCTTCTCAGGGGCTTGGGAATGTTTATAGATCGTCTCTTTCCCAGCTGTAGGGACCCTGACTTACTAGCTCTGCAAATAAGTCAGCCTGAGTTGGGGAGAAGAATACATTCACCCAAAAGGCAACAATGAACGATTGTTGTGCCAATATTTGCTCTGTCCAGCTAAATTGTATTTGTAGAATCTGAGGGAAGAGCAAAGTCCCCCGTGTCCTCCGTGGCCTGAGACTGCAGCAGGAAAGGGGAGAAGGAGCCACGGGCATGGGCGCTCATGCTGAGTCTCCACCAACACAGCGTGTGGCCTGAGGCCCAGCTTCCTCATCGCCTCAACAAGCAGGGAAATAACACCTTCCTCACGGGACAGTGTGAGGGCTCAGTGTGAATTTGTGAGGATCTGAGGAAAAGAACCTGATCCATGGTGAATGGGGTGATTATTATTATCATGGTTTTACTTCAACTAAAATGAGGTCAATAGGGTGTCCCTAATCCAATCTTACTGAGGTCCTTCTAAGAAGAGGAGGTTAGGACGCAGACACACATAGAGGGAAGGCCAGTGGAAACACAAGGAGAAGGTGGCCGTCTACACATCAAGGAGAGAGGCGTCTGAGAGAACCAACCCTGCCAACACTTTGACCTCGGACTTCTGGCCTTCAGAACTGGGAGACAAGAGATTTCCATTGTTGGAGACTCCCGGTCTGTGAGAGTCCCAGGGAACTCCTGCAGAGGACAAACAGATACCCTTGCCAAAGAAACACCACCCTGGGCCACTGTGGTGTTTTACAGAAAACACAACATGTTTCCCGGATCTCCCCCACCTACGACATGGTATCACCATCTCTAGCCTCCTAAATAAGCCATTACCTCATCATCTTCCATTTAAATAAAATTCAAGTTTTTTGAATTTTATAATTCAAATTATAAATTTTGTAAATGTTCAAAGGTTTCATCTAAAAAACTGCTCTGAAACTAAGAAATCATAGCACTGATTTGGATCTTCTCACCCCAGGCACCTTTCCTCCCCAAGGCTGCCATGAGGACACTGCGTTATTTGTCCACTAGACTCTCCTGAGTCCAGGCCTCCATGTCTAATTGCCACCCTGATTCCCACGTGGACGTCCCTAATGCACTTCAAATCAACATGTCCAAAACCAGAATTAGGACCCACCCTTCCCCATCCCTGGTCCATTGTTCAGACAAACACCACCGTCTAACCAGCTACACAAGGCAACAATGTACGGTCTTTCTTGTCACCTCTCCTCTCTCCTTCACCCCTGGTGGATGCCTGAAACCACAGATAGTACTGAACTCTATACACACTTATGTATGATAAAGTTCATTTATAAATTAGTCACAGTAAGAGATGAACAACAGTTAATAATAAAATACAATTATAGCAATATACTGTAAAAAATGTTCTGTGAATGTGGTCTCTCTGTACTCACCCTTCCTGTGATGATATGAGATGATAAAATGCCTCCATGACGAGATGAAGTGAGATGAATGACAGAGACATAGTGATGTAGCATTAGGGTACTACTGACCTTCTGATAGAAGGACAGGAGGAGGATCCTCTGCTCCTAGTTGACCACAAGTAACTGAAACCATGGAAAGCTAAACCATGAATGGGGGGATACGGTACAACCCCTGAAACCAACAACTTCTCCCCCTCTACTGTCTCCTGAATCTGTGTACTTCTTTCCATCTGAGCTGAATTCACCCTCTCCCCATCTGCCCTGACCCACCGTAACAGTCCCCCACAGATCTTCCCAGGAACTCCCGCCTGTCCAATCCATTCTCCTGGTAGCAGCCCACGTGGTCTTTGAAAAGCCCAGATCCAGTCATGTCACTGTTTGCAGAAAATCTGTGAGAAAGATCACACATTGTGGGCAAGGGTGCAAATCAGAAAGGCCACATTAGAGCACAGCTCAGTGTGATCCATGAAAGTTAACCTTAGTATATCTAGACTCCCAGAAACCCCACTGTGAAAACACCCGACAGAACGGGGAACTAGAACACCCAAGTAGTTCATAGTACTACTATTCTAAAAACAGCAAAACACAGGAAACTACCCAATTTTCTGTCAACAGCAGAACTGATAAATAAGTTATGTTATATTCCCAGCAAATTATTGCTACAAGGAGCAAATGGAGTCTCACGGTGTTAAGTGTAGGAAGCCGAGCAAAAAATACAAGGGTATGACTCCATTTACGTAAAGTTCGGAAATAGTCAAAATTGCTCTACGGTCCTATGAGTTAAAAAAGGGGTCACCATGGGAGCATGCTAGTGACTGGGACGGGATCCAGAGGAGTTCTCGGTTGTCAATAATGCTGTGTCTCTTGAGCTGGGTGCTGTGGGACCAGTCCTAAGCTGACTCACATGGGCACTGGTCCGTATGCACAGGCTTGGACTAAATATTCGTGTCCTTTCCAAATTCATGTGTTGAAACTACCCCCCTAATGTGATGGTATTAGGAGGTGGGGGCCTTTGGGAGGTAATTAAGACTAGGTGAGGGCATAAGAGTAGCCTCGTGAAAAGAAATAGTGCCCTTGTAAGAGGCAAGCGGGCACTGGCTGAGGCTGTGTGAGGACTTGACAAGAAGTCAGTCGTCTACAAACAGGACCTTGACCTTTACCTGGTCTCACCAGACCTTGACCACACCAGCACCATGATCTCGCACTTCCAGCCTCAAGAGCTGCAAGGAATACATTTCTGCTGTTTATAAGCTACCCAGTCTGTGGTATATTGTTACAGCAGCCCCGGTGAACAAAGATGGCATGTTATACATAGTAAAAAGAAAAAAAATGAAAAAGTAAAAAGTAAACAACACAGACAACTTTTCATCCCTCTTTATATAAAGATCAAAGTCCTAACTTGCTTCAAGAACCACCCTGGCTTGGTTCCTGCCGACAGTTGAACCCAAGACATCCACTCCCTTCTCCCCCTCTCTGAGCTCTGGCTGTACTGGCCTCACGGATCTCTCTGTCCCTCAAAGCCACCAGCTCCCTCTGGCCTTGGGGGTCTTTGCACAGGCTGTTTGCTCAGCCCCTCCTTTCCCCTGCAATTTTCTACTTATCCTTCCAATCTCAACTCACACTTCACTTCTTTGGAGCTATTGGCCCCTGGCCGCTGGCTGCAGACAGATCAGGTGTGCGTGTTACACTCTCGTACATTCCTTCGTGGCACTTGTCACAGATTATGACATGTTTGCGTCTTTGATCAATGTCTGTCTCCCCCACTAGACTTAAGGTCTGTACTGTCAGGGTCTCTGCCTGTCTGTTCACCTGCATACCTGCCCCACCAAGCCCAGCACCTGCCCAGGGTATAAGCTCAATAAATATTTATGGGCTGAAAGAGTGAGCCATCCTAGGACAGCAGTGTCTTCCTCTGCATCAAACATCTCGAACGACGAGCGCTTCCAACTTCTGAAGCTTCCTTCCTAGTGTCTAATTCCTTTCTGCTGCCATTTGAGTTCATTTATCTTCCTCTTGCCCTTGGCGAATATGAATTGAGATACTTACCACTAAATCTCCGTTCGCCATACACACTTTTCACATCTTTGAAGTTAGCTGTTAAGTGACTTTTGATTTTCATCTGTTCGGTCAAAATAAGCTGATCCATGCAGATCATTCCTTCCTATTCTCTCCGAGTGCTTTTGCTCGAATGTACGCTCAGCCACGCAGAGTTACGTAGAGGGAAAAAAGTGGATCTGAACATGGATGTTTGGCCAAGAACAGTGGGCATTTGCATCACATAAACTCACAGAGTGTATCCAAAACAAGAGTAACACATATCACCCACTGAACACCAAGGAGATGAAGATGAAACTCAGGGCACTCCAGGAATGCATGGAAAGTAGGCCAGCTACTGAGATCCAGAGGCAGGACAAGGAGACAAGTGGCCTAGCCTACGCATCTCACCTTTACTCGGTGAGAATACAGTAAAACTTCTAATTTTCTCCCCACCAATACAGGAGCCATACAAATACAGAACTTTGAATCACTTCATCTTGACTTTTCTTTAAACAGTGATGGAGATAAGTTATAGTCCCAGAGTACATCAGATTTAGTCATTAAATTTATGATGATTCACTGAGTAGAACATGATCTTATCCCTTTCGTGCCCAGAGCCATAACACGACTTGTCTATAACCTAGATCGGAAATACGATCTAGGATGGAAAAGATACCTGGGGCCACCCCATGGATCCTCCCAGTTGTAGGAGTGTGGGCTCTGCCATCAGAACTGTTTCAGCCACTCCTCGGAATAGCAGATGTTACAGATCTCTTTTTTTATTTTTATTTTTATGTCAGCATAATGAACATACAGTGGCATATCAGTTTCAGGGGAACAATATAGTGATTCACCAATTTCATACATGACTCGGCGCTCATCAAGGTGAGTGTCACAGACCTCTTGATGAGAAAGGGCACTGTCACACTAAACTAAGTGTCCACCCCCTTCTCATTTTTAGTTTATCACCTGTGGGGAAGATTTCTATGTGACTGTTTGACTTTCTGCTGGATCACGTAACCTTCAGTCTGCTCTCCCTCCAGAGGGGCTGTTTCGCTGGGTATAAAAGCAACCCCTGTCCCTTGGCTCCCACTGGCACTATTCTCCATCCACACAGGACCAAACCCCTCAGCCGGCAACACTCTGTGCACACCCCCTCTGTTTCCCTAAGTCTTCCCACTTCACCATTAACAATGGGGGGAACAAAGAGAGGTGGGAGAGATCAAAGAAGTCCACACCCCAGCTCCTGAGATAGCAGAAAAGAATCACAGAGCCATGCTATGGCCCCTGAAAACCACAGGCCCTCAAGACACTCATTCGCTACACATAATTCTGGACGCTAGAATGCCAAAACCAGTGCAAATGTTCAGACACAGAGCTTTAAAACCCAGACAGCGGCTGCTGTAGGTCAGTGACACCCATACCATTCCGCAAAAGGCATGTTTGCTTTTCATGGTTGCGAGGACAGCTAAGGGTCACAAGTACTGGTACATAGAGTTAGGAACCCAAGATGCTAAAAGATACACAACGTAAGAGAAGGTCCTTCAGAGTATCCTCCAACACACCAGGGCTCTCGGGCTAGCCGGGGACCAGTGACCCAGCCATTTACGTACCTTCTGGAGTTGTTTGTTCTATAATTTTTCCCCTTTGGTTCTATTTATTTGTGGTCCTGCTTCTAAACCCAAACTAGATTGGGGAATGATGAACTGTCTAGATTCTCCAACACAGACTTTAAGAGGAAGGTAAAAGGAAGAAGACTAGCACGTGCTATTGCGAGAGAAGAGAGAAAAAATGAGCATGGGGTCTTCACCCTTATGTATGGAGTGAGAACAGTTGAGTCACACCAACACATTACATTTAGATGGTGACAGATGCAGATGAGCTGTGGGAGGACTAGCGCATCATCTCAGCCATTCTACTCATTCACAAATGGGAAAAGAACGAGATCGAGACCGCGAAACTGCCCACGACCCCTCAAGTGGTCAGTTCTGTTCACAGTATCAAAGCTGCAGCCTTGGAAGGCAGCTGGCCATCACCAAGTAGGCAGACATCCAGCCGGTGCCCCCAGGCTCCAGTACGAGATGTCTCCGGTGGCCAACAATCAATGGTAGGTGGCCTTCAGTCATCAAGGCCCACAGCTGGCTTCTGGCTTGCTTCCCCACAGACTTAGATGCAGCAATTTCTCTCCCGACCACTAAGAGCACCCTGGACCATCTCCTCCAAATATTAGAGCTCTTTGGGTTTATCACAGCCTTAATGAAAATTCAGCTTGCCACCACACAGGGCAGACTGATTTCTCTATGTATCTACACCCAGGCACTAGAGAAGTTTGAAGTCAAAGTGAGGCCAGAGAGAACCAGTCTCCTGTGGTCCCATCAGACGATGCTTTGTATGGGCCCTGGGAGTGCTGCCCCCTAGATTCTGATAGAAACTGTTTTAGGGACTTCATTTCTATGTCATTTAAAACTATATCCTTAGGGGCACCTGGCTAGCTCAGTTGGTAGAGCATGATACTCTTAATTTAAGGGTTGTGAGTTCAAGTCCCACACTGGGTGTAGAGTTTACTTCAAAATAAAATAAAATAAAAATTTCTTAAAATTTAAAAAATACAGAAAACTATATCCTTAACAATTCAGATGATTACTAAAGGGATGAATTGTGGGGTGGGTGTGTGTGTGTGTGTGTGTGTGTGTGTGTGTTTAATTGGAGGGTTATAGAAAAAAAAGGTTTTGGGTGGGAGAAATAAAACCACACAAGTTATTTACTAAGTGAGTTACTCACTAAGTCCTCAGCTGGGCCATACAAAATGATGCTCAGAGCATCAGTGTTTGAGATTACTTAAGATGCTCTCTTCCAGTTGTAGAAATTGGAATTGTGGCATCTCAGTTACATTTCCTCGCAGAACCCTCCTGTGACATTTGATTCCAAGAGCCCGTCTCCCATGAAGAGGGGACCACTGCCTTTTCCAGTCTGGCTCTGCAG